TGGGGGGGGGGGGGGGGGTGACTTGGTGACTTGTTTGTTTTAAATGACTACATGCTCAAGAAAATAAATGTTTGAAAAATGCCGTTATGTTCTTGGGTAGGTGACAAATTACGTTAGCTTTTAGCCTCTATCATACAGTTCATCTGTATCAACGTACAGCTTTGACGAAAGATGTCCTCGTCATAGACGGAATAGTTAGGACTTTCAACTAGGCCTAGTCCGCTTTCATTTTCAGCTGATATCGCAGAAAAGGTAGCTGTTGATAGTCGTAAAAGTCCGGGTGTTTCCAACCTTTCTCTTTCTTTTACCCCTTTCAAGATCCTTGATTGCATTACTTTTCCAATATAAATCCTTTTTATTTATAGGTTTTCCCTGCAATCTTTTTCATGTCAGAGAATATAGCCTGACTGAACAAAACGACTTGAATTATTATTGTCTAACAATTTAAGGCTTGACTACAAAGCAACTCATTACCCCCTAAACATTTCAAAATTACCCCAGGTTCAAAACCCCTGTAGACTAGTTGTTGATAGGTGTATCTGGATCAATAGGCTGTTTTGATACTGCTAGTTTACTAGCACTTCTACCTATAACGACCTTAACGACCACCATAAACTCTAACCTTTAAAACAAAGTATCTAATTGGATAAGAATGTTTTTGATGTAAGCTTGATGTTGATTGGTTTATTTTGATTCTAAACAATCCATTCATCATCGCACCATTAGATTTCTGGGTACTTTATATACGTTAACCTTCAACCTCCAGACTCTGTCTATTGCCGTCATCTCAACCAGATGTTCCTTTTTTTATTTTTCATCGTTTATTTCTACGTAAAACATCCTCGATTCCAAGCCTTAAGACCAGTGTTAAAAGGATATATGTTCAACCAAAAGATTTAGATATTGAGCATCAATGTGGATAGGCGGCTTACTTCGCAATGAAGATTAATCACAACCAATTCGTCTTCGCATCAGCACAGGGATCAACGATAGAATCTGCGTCATAGCATCGCAATTGACGTCACAGAATCAATATCGACCGTGTCGTAGAAGTATCGACGTCATGGCATGAGTGTCGACGTCATCCACATAACACAAGTATTGATGATATTTACGTCACAGCAACAGTATCGAATTTTGACGTCATAACACCAGTGTTGACGTCATAATATCATGGCTGAAGTACTGTCGCATTTATATCTAAATTTGTAGCGATGAAAAGTTTAAGCATAGTTTGGGGAACGGATGTTAAAACAACCTAAATCTAAAATCCTACTTTTTCATACATGTTGCCTACTGTGGGTATTTAAACGTAACTAGATGACAATCTCAAAGCCTAAATATACAATAGAAAATCCTTTAGTTACAAAGTGCATGTTTAATAACTATGGCGGCCAGGGTTCGTATTTAATGTCTCAGTCTCAAATTTCCAGTCCAAGGTTTTATGGGTTACACTCCCTTTGTTATTTAATTTTGTTATATTTCAACTCCATGCTTGGCTTCACAACACATACATTTCTGACGATTTTGTTAAATTGAAATTTGGGTTTTATTGTAGAAAAAAATAACATTTCTTTGTGGTTTAAACACGGAAGATTAAAATTTATGCGTATTTCAGACGTGGCCTAGATATAAACGTAGACTAGGCTTAGTTACAATACAAGAAAGAAGGATTGGGGCTTGGCAAAAAATCTTTATTTTATAATATATTAGTTTCAAACAAAAATTTGCCACTTCCCGGAAGTATCATTCCCACACCCTTTGCCTCTTACGAATTGACATGAAGATGGTAATTGAAAGGAATTGTTTTTTTGGGGGTTAGTTTTAGAGGAACCCAACGCCCCTGCAAACTAAAGGGGGTGCCTGTTTGTGGCTCAGCAAATTATTCAAATCATCTAAATTTATCAGGCTGTTTGGAGGGCGGGATGGAAGGGGGAGGGGGGGGGGGGGGGGTATCTATGGGCCTTCTCAAAACTATTATTATTTACAGAATAATAATTTAAGCACTTAACTCAGAAGGTTGCCAAAAAACAGGCGCTACCCAATAAATTCAACATATCACGTGATGGAATACAATCTAAACTTTGTTTGTAATCCCTGATAACAGGTTGGTCTAAACCTCCAAGCTACCGAAATATTTGACTGGGACGTGCGACGGAGACCTCCTACGAATGAGATAGTAGGTGGGCCTATTTTACGATACCACTCAATTACTTTATGATTATTCAAGATCTACAATAGTCTTGCCAACGCTGCAAAGACAAACGGATCAAGGCTATTTATATACAAAATATAGCCTAGGCCCTACTCATAGCCTATAATAGTTCTAGAGGCCTAAAATGGACATCAGGCCTTTATTGCCCCTCACATGGAGCCTCTATACACAATTGTGCTTAAATTACACCTTTGTGCCTATATACACCATTGTGCCTATATTACATCATTGTGCCTTTATACAGCACTGTGCCTTTATACAGCATTGTGCCTATATTCATCATTGTGCCTACATACACCATTGTGCCCATATACATCATTGTGCCCATATACATCATTGTGCCCATATACATCATTGTGCCTAAATATAAACCATTGTGCCTAAATATATACCATTGTGCCTAAATATATACCATTGTGCTTACATACACAATTGTGCCTACATACACCATTGTGCCTACATACACCATTGTGCCTATATTCATCATTGTGCCTAAATATACACCATTGAGCATATAAACATCATTGTGACTATAAACAGCATTGTGCCTACATACACCATTGTGCCTACATACACCATTGTACCTACATACACCATTGTGCCTAAATATACACCATTGTGCCTATATTCATCATTGTGCCTAAATATACACCATTGTACCTATATACACCATTGTACCTATATGCACCATTGTGCCTATATACACCATTGTGCCTATATTCACCATTGTACTTATATACACCATTGTACCTATATACACCATTGTACCTACATACACCATTGTGCCTAAATATACACCATTGTGCCTATATTCATCATTGTGCCTAAATATACACCATTGTACCTATATACACCATTGTACCTATATGCACCATTGTGCCTATATACACCATTGTGCCTATATTCACCATTGTACTTATATACACCATTGTACCTATATACACCATTGTACCTATATACACCATGGTGCCTATATACACCATTGTGCCTATATACACCATCGTACCTATATACACCATTGTGCCTATATACACCTTTGCGAAACAAATGTTTAAACTTTTAACTTCATCTATGATCGAATAAATACTTGTATGTCAATATTTTGAAATTTAGGTGTATTTTATCTTCTGTCATTGAAAGCTGACATCTTGTTGTCAAGTTCAACATCTTGTAGCAGCCGACATAAAAACCGAACAAAATAGTCCCTCTTGAATTTATAGAATGTCATTCAGAGCTTTGTTGATGATTCAAAACTTATCTTTTACAGTAGAAATTCATTTTGGAAAGAAAACTTTGGCGAATTTTGAAGTTTTTAATCGATTTTGAAGCCAAATTTGGAAGTTAAAGCGAACGCGTAGTGATACAAACACCCTGCCATTACCCACAATACTTCAATACATCAACACGCATGGCGTTTTTACACCAAACAAATTTGACAGTTTCTTCTACATCTTATTATTACTTGATGGTTCGTTTTTAACATTTTATGATTTCAATATTTAACTCTACGTCTGTGGATCACGAATGATCGTCTGCAATCGAAACGTTCGGGGGATTAATTCCAGTGCTATACTGAGTGCACGTGTGTGTGTCGGAACTGAAACATTGTTTTGATTCTGGAAGCCGACTCGTCTTCGAAATTCTTGGATTTATACAACTTTTTAACTCGAAAGTTTTCAGAGTTTGGATTATCAGATTTGCACCAAATTTTCACAGTTTGGAGTTAAAATGCCACAGATTCTAGTAAGTATACCAAATTTAGTAATTTTGAGTAAAACTGTGTTTTTGAGGGAGAATAAAAAGAGATAAAAGTTGTGAAAGTTTGGAAGTTGAGCGATGCTATGGTAACCTAGTTCCAGAATGTCTTTGACTGGTTTATCTATTATCAGGTCAAGTTCTGTGTGTATTGCCTCACTACAAGACTGTTGGTGCCAGTAGGCTTTGGTTGCTGAGTTATTACCACTCATATAAAATATTCTCACACACTAGGCTACATTAAACATTAGAGATTAGAGGAGGTTGATTGAAGAGTCACTATATTGAAGGCACTGGCACTGGGTTAAATGGATTGTTAAGAGGCTTTCTAAAATTTTATGTGTATCATGGACACTGATAGCATCAATTTGTACCATTCAGACTTTCAATCAGATGTCTGTGGTTCCTGCGATTCCACTAAACATGTATCATGACGTCACTATTAATTGAAAAATATACGTGTAGCACTTAAGACACCATTCCAATTTTCAATCAGACGTCTGTGATTCCTGTAATTCCATTTCAATGTGTTTAATGACGTCACTAATAGTAATCACGAAGGGCCATAATGTGATTGAGCATATTTCGCGATTAGTTACGTCATCAAACACTTAGTTTTGGAATGGTGCAAATTGAGGCTATCAATGTTCCAGAACCACATAAATTTTTTAGTTATATTTATAACAATTATGATACGACACAGTTGATTATTGAACTATAATTAGATCCTAAAAACCCTTTTCACCAGGCAGCTATAAAGCTTTCTGCTCCAAGTCTGGAACTTGCTGCGATTAAATTACATGGAAGTGAAATCAACTGGTCTTGAAAATGCATTGTTTAGTGTAAACAGAAGAACTGTTCTCGGCAGGATTTTCTGTGGCCTTAGCAGTATGCCCCTCCTAAGTAATTTTTCCCTGATTAATGTTTGTTTGTCCTCAATCTCCCTTGTACAACTAACTACATTCCATTTCATTAGCCCAATAAGTTACAGAACAGTAGGATATAAAACTCTATTTCATTTCATTTCATTAGCCCAATTAGTTACAGAACAGTAGGATATAAAACTCTATTTCATTTCATTTCATAAGCCCAATTAGTTACAGAACAGTAGGATATAAACCTACATTTCATTTCAATAGACCAATAAGATACAGAACAGTAGGATATAAAACTCCATTTTATTTCGTTTCATTTCATTAGTTCAATAAGGTACAGAACAGTAAGATATAAAACTACATTTCATTTCATCAGTACAATAAGATACAGAACAGTAGGATATAAAACTATATTACATTTCATTAGTTCAATAAAATACAGAACAGTAGGTTATAAAACTCCATTTCATTTCATTAGTTCAATAAGATACAGAACAGTAGGATATAAAACTACATTTCATTTCATTAGTCCAATAAGATACAGAACAGTTGGATATAAAACTCTGTTTCATTTCATAAGCCCAATAAGATACAGAACAGTAGGATATAAAACTCTGTTTCATTATTCCAATAAGATACAGAACAGAAGGATATAAAACTCTATTTCATTTCATTAGTCCAATAAGTTACAGAACAGAAGGATATAAAACTCTATTTCATTTCATTAGTTCAATAAGATACAGAACAGAAGGATATAAAACTCTGTTTCATTTCATTATTCCAATAAGATACAGAACAGAAGGATATAAAACTCTATTTCATTTCATTAGTTCAATAAGATACAGAACAGTAGGATATAAAACTACATTTCATTTCATTAGTTCAATATATTTTGATTTTGAATCATTCTCCAACACACCTACCTTTTTCAACTATTACTACTTACAGTTATGTCCCCTTGGGAGCGATATTTTACCTTTCATATACTAGATCAAAGAAAATACAAACACCTGTCGCTGCGTGATGATTGGTCTCCTGCTAACGCATACAGGAAGTGATGTAGGTTGGTAATGGTTAGTTCGGTCTCTCGCGAGAGTTTAGTCAGAAGTGGATACAAGTAGATCACTTAAATCTATCACGGTTTTATACAATATTTACATCATGTGCAGGAACTTTTTCTATGTTGTATTTTTGTTGTCAGTGATACAGGTCGGAGGGGCGGGCATGGAAAAATCGTTGAGTTGTTTGAATGAGAAAATAAACTGAAGCCTTGTGTACTACAGGCTGTTCACGTCATAGATCCCTCGACAGTTGAAAAGTGGAAAAAGAAAGCTAATGCAGCAAAACTTCCCTCATTGCCCACTGCATGGCATTACCTGTCTTCATTAGCCCACATGGTACAGAGAGGTGAACTTCATTTGCATCATTTCTATACATAATATGTGAGGATTTACAAATTGAAGAAGAGAACCTACATGTATTTTAAACTGGACCAAGTAGTTCTGACGAAGGTTTTGTATCTGAAATGTTACATAAGACGAGCTCTAGAATGGGAAAGGAGGCATTGCAGACATACAGTGGCATCAACTCCCCCGCCCCCCCCCCCCCCTTTTTTTTTTTGTTATTTCTTGATTATGACATGTAAACTACTACTAAGTAGTCCTGATGAGGCTTTTGTATCTGAAATGTTGCATTTATAAGACAAGCTCCGGTCAATTAGAAAGGGAAAGAAGGTAATACAGAAGGGTTAGCATGTTTTCAAGAGTCAGACTTCCGCGCTATTTGAAGGAATTATGCAATGTTCATATAGTTTTAGTAGTTCTGAAGACATTTTTTACATATATTCAAGGTCTAAATTAACCCTAAGAAATGCCACATCTGTCCCTTTAAAAAGGAAGACTCTGTATACATAAAATATATAAATGTGATATATAGAAAAGACATATATAGAAATAGAAAGTGAAATTCCTAGTTTGAGGTATTTTTGAAGGAATTTTGCGATTTTTGTTCATTTCTAGTACTTCTGAAGACTATTTACATATATTCAAGACTAAAATTAACCCCCCAAAATGGCAAAACTGTACCTTTAAAAGGAAGAATAACCTTCATGAGTAAAATTTATGAAATTTGATTTTCACTATAAATAAGTGTTTTCATAACATTTTGGGATTGTTTACTCTTCAAAAGTCGGAGCACCTTACCCCCTCTTGCACTGCCCCCTCCCCCCTAACCCCCCCTCATCATTGTTTTAGAGAAGGATAAGAATAAATATGTATTGTCATGTAAAACTGTAATTTGACCCGTTGTCAGTGACCCTAGATAGACTTCCCTGATAAAATAATCTTTTACACAAATAAAATATTTAATTTGAAATTTGTCTTGGTTGGAAATATTAGCTCATAATTAAACAGTAGGACATAAATTTTACATAAATTTTATAAATTTTAATCCTAGGAAATGATATAATAAAAAACACAAGGAATATAATTTGTTATAAGTTATCTTCTTAAAGGGACAGTAGGCAAAATTTTGATTATCGAAAACGTAAATTATACCTGAAAATATTTCTAAAATATGTTCTTTATATCAATGTAACATCTTGATCAAACTGAATTTGTTTAAAAACGGAGTGTACTAATTGTTAATTAAGCAGTTTAAGCTAGTTTTGGTGTTTGATCTCATAAAGCCTTGATGTATTTTGTTGAAATCTTCAGAATACGTAGGATATATATTTCTCTACAATTAGGCGTTTATTTTACTTGAATCTTAAATGCTTAAAAATCTTAAAGAAGTTGAAAAGTTTACATAAAGTTTTAAATTAATTTTGGTGTTAAAAAATAAACAGCAGGATTTTTTTAGTTAAAACTTTCAGATTTTCGTGTATATTTTTCATATTTGTGCAAAATTTTTCAACAATAAATCATAATGCCCTTTGAAATGCTCCTTAGTCTCAGAAACAGGAATTTTTTTAGCTAAGCCAATTAGTTATAGTGTTCACAGCTCACCATCAAAATTTGGCCTTCAAGTGTGTCCAGAATTATCCACACTTGAAAGTTAAAAAGACGAGATATCTTATCTTGAGACACTGTCATATATAGAAAAGACATCAATAGAAATAGAAAGTGAAATTCCTAGTTTGAGATATCTTTGAAGCAATTATGCGATTTTTGTACATTTCTAGTACTTCTGAAGACTTTACGTATATTTAAGACTAAAATCAACACCCCAAAATGGCACACCTGTCCATTCAATAACAAAATACATAACATTTCAACACAGTTAACATGTTGCATCAAATCCTGAAATATACCAAAATATATTTTGTGAGTTTTTGTTACTGGTATAATATCAAGTGCCCTCTGCTTCTTTCTAATCTAATCCATTTAAGAATTATGGGAAAAAAAC